CCGGCTCGAACGGCTGCTGTAGAGTTGCTCGGCACTTGCCTTCTTCGCGGGAGGAGATCAAAGCCTGTTTCCGCTTCTTCCGAAGCGGAATCACGCCAACCTAACCCTCCCTCTTAGGCGCTGCTGCCTGCTTGTCCCCCCATGTCCCCCCCCCTCTCGCTGGGGAGCGATGCGTTGGGCTAATAACTGCCCAAACTGTCAAAAGCGGCCGTCGCCCACTTCGCACAAGAGTGAAAGTGCGTCAGTCCTCCATCTTAGCTCGACCGGAAGCCTGCACTTGCTTATTTTCTAATGTTAGGCACACAAGCCCCTCTCTGTGAAACCAGCTGTGGTGTAGCGGTTAAGAGCGGCAGACTTTAATCTGGAGAACCAGGTTTGATTCCCCACTCCTCTACATGCAGCCAGCTGGGTGACCTTGGGTCAGTCACAGTTCTCTCAGAGCTCTCTCAGCCCCACCTACCTCATTGGGCTTCTGTTGTATGGAGAGGAAGGGAAAGTGATTGTAAGCTGCTCCAAGACTCCTTTGGGTAGTGAAGGGCGGTGTATAAAACCAACTTCTGCTGCTGCTACAATACTGATTCTCAGTCTTTTTCTATTTTTTAAAATTAAATTAATAAAGACGTAAGAGCGTCTGTCTTGTTTCTCAATGACCAATATTTTCAAAAGTCATTTTAATCCGAAGGTAATGTGTCTTCCCTTCTGGACACAACTGTTACAAGTTGTATTTTCAAAGACTGCTTAACCTGCTTTATAAAAGTCTAAAAAGATTTGCTACACACAAACACTGCACTGAATCAGACCTTCAGTCCATCAGGGTCAGTGTATCGTTTACTCAGACTGCAAGCAGCTCTCCAGGATCTCAGACAGAGATCTTTCATAAGAACATAAGATAAGCCAATGTTGGATCAGGCCAAAGGCCCATCCAGTCCAACACTCTGGGTCACACAGGGGCCAAAAATACCAGGTGCCATCAGGAGGTCCACCAGTGGGGCCAGGTCATTTGAAGCCCTCACACTGTTGACCCCCCCAAGCACCAAGAAGACAGAGCATCACTTGCCCCAGAGCCCCTATCTATACCTTGTGGCTAATAGCCACTGATGGACCTCTGCTCCGTCACCTACTGTGTGGTCCTTTGAACTGGAGAACCTGGGACCTTCTGCATGCGAAGCAAAGACTTTTTCACTTAGCTGCAGCCTCTCCTCAGCAGAATGGATTGTTCTTGATATGTTAGTAAATGACATATGGGAACAGGTAAGTTAGTAAAGGAGAGGGAAAAAATTGTGAGCAGGAACCCATGGACTTTTCAAGTCCTGCTGGCCCCACCTTGCCTAACCGAGCGGCTGGAAGCTTCCCTATCCTTCAACCTACTCCTGGAGGACTGCCAGCCAATTTGCCCCCAAGAAGCTCACACATCATCTTCAAAGTTTTGGTTGCAAAACACTCCTGCAAAAGTCACACTCTTAACAGGAGCTACTTGTTACATGCTCCCACGTCTTATGAAGCAATGGGCCAGGTTACAACACACTTTGATCCACTGCACCAAACACATGAGCTTAGGGAGGCCATGTCAACGCCCTCTCATTTAGCAAACAGGATGTCATTGTGACAGCCCTTTCTAAACGGCAGAGATGCAATACAGCAGCACTGCAAGGAAGGCAGAGAGGGATTCTGCAAGAAATGAGTTCGGCAGAAACTGGACAGATGGAATATAATGAACTTGAGGAGAGGGCTTGGTGGGAGAAGGTTAAAGAGCACAAAGCAGGGAAAGAAAGAAAGAGAGTGAGATACATGCAGTACTTTAAGAGGATTTCAACAAGTTCAAAGGGCCCAAACATAACAAGATGGACCGGTGCCAGGCTTCTGCAGACACAAAGACTTCTGCCCACATACTGCACCTGTTGGAGCATCCTGAAATGGCCCACTGAAATCCTACTCCTGGAGAGTAGCGACACCCAAGAGCAGGATTTCAGTGGCCATTTTGGGCTGCCACCAAACAGGAGAGCTACAAAATCACTGTCCACGGGGAAAACTCCTTATGTCTGCAGAAACATGCTGTTGGATCCCCTCCACTCTGGGATGTGTGAAAAAGCCTGACAAGTATGTAAAGACTATCCTGTTACCCACCCACCCCCCCAAAAATTAAACCGCTTTCATAAACTGATCTGCAAGCAGCAGAAAAGAGCAAGAGTCCAGCAGTACCTTAAAGACTAACAACATTTGTGGCAGGGGATGAGTTTTCGTGAGTCACTGCTCCCTTCTTCAGATACGGCTAGAAAGAAACAGACTAACAGGGCTACCCATCATGATCTGCAAGGTAAGTGAATCACGTGACGGACAAGCGAAGCCAAAATTCAGTCCTCTCCGATTCAAAGCTCTTGTAGCTAAACTTCAGAACCTTGCCCTATCACATTTTTGGCACAAACGCATGGTAATCCAGGTTAGAAGCAGTGAGTCAATACAAGCCACATTTTTAAAAAGTATTTATATACTGCTTTGGAGCATTAAAAGCAGTGTAGTAGGATTAGGATTTTTAGAAGCAGCGTTTTCTGTAGCAAAAGAGCATAAAAGAGTTAAATGAGAACCTCTCCCTCTGCCCACAACATCCTGCCCATCAAAAGTGGACCCAGCAGATGTATTTAGCAAAGCGGGGCAAGAAGTCTTGAAAATGTTACTGTGGTTTGGCTCAAAAGATTTAAATTGCTTTGCTGGGAAATAGTACAGAAATCCCACTTACAACAAAATCCTAAAGTGAACCTGTAAATTGCTGAACACTCTGGTACAGCGTGGAGTGGCACCACAGTGGTGTAAATCCAGCAGACACATCAGCAGCAGTATAGGGACCAGAAGTTAGACAGTGCCAAGAGATAGTGTCAGTGGGGCTACGGTGATGTGCTAAACCCCCTCAGCTCATCTCCCACCAGCAAAAACACTGGCAAAAGTATAAACAAGAGGGCAGTGTTCCCTCTAACCTGAGTTAGTGTGAGCTAGCTCACAGTTTTTTACCCTTCGGCTCACACATTTCTGTCATAGCTCACAAAGGATGGCTCCAGAGCAAACTAATTTATGCAGTAGCCAAATCGCTCGCTCACAACTTTAATGCCACTAGCTCACAAAGTAGAATCTTTGCTCACAAGACTCCACCCCTTAGAGGAAGCACTGCAAGAGGAGCGAAAAAACAAGATCCCCCCCCAAACACCATGTATACACTACACAGCTCAGAATACATACTACATTTGTCACCAAATCTGGCTCTCTTACACACTATATACCCGACTCTCATGACAGCTGTATAGCAACCAGCTATACCTCTCTGGCCTCATGATAGTCATACTTAGAACATGAAATCACACATAGAGTGACGGGAACTCTAGAGAAAGAACACTTTGCACAAAATGGGAGACATCTGCACAACAGCCAGGGAGGCAAACTGCTGACAGTGCTCTGCTCCAAACCCTTACAGGTGCTCCACCTCTAGACATCAAAGGTGAACTGGAGCCTTTATTCCTCCAACTAGGGATGCAAGGATAAAGCATTCCATACAGGTAAGCAAGGGAGAGGGACCCACTGCTACAAAACATCTCCATACATACAACACATACCAACTGTGCACTGGCCTCAGCAACTCTTCTTTCTTCAACAGATGTTATCAGTGTCCCCCATATAGGCAGGTACACACAATATGGGGGAGTCCCTGAGAGCGCGCTGGCAGAGCGTCACCAGGATGTCTATACAACCCCCACATGCAAGAAGGGGCAAAAGGGAGCCCAACCACAAGCCACTCCAACCACTGCTCCTGCAGGTCAAACATTCATGACACTTTTAAGCCCCAGGAGCAGCTCAGAACAAGCTGTAAGAACCTCTACAAAAGATGGCTAATTACAGGCTGGATTGCTACACTATCCAATATTTGAATCCCAAGGCGTGTTTCGAGGATGCAAAGGAACTGGAAAAGCACTTCACTGAACTTCCTTGAGATTAGCATAAACACCAGATTTTATAAGTACCTTTAGCTCAGCATAATTTAATAAGTACCTTTTTTTGTTCTAAACTAATGTCTGAAAGATACTTAACCAAAACTAGGTAGTTTTGATTAGCCAATGGACAGATTTCGTTTATTTGAATTAATTTATCAAAGTAAGGGTTCTTTACAAAAACCAGAAGTGGCAGCTAGCCTAGATTTCAACAACAAAGAGTTGACTGGGAGAGATCTTATGCAAGATCTGCAGCCTATTAAAAAAACCCCAACAGAAACAATTAAACAAATAGATTTACCAGGCTGGTTTCTTTCATTTCCATCTGCTTAAAGAGTTTATGCATTGTTCCCAAGCATTTCTGCCCTCTCCAGCCTCACCAACTCAAGGCACACCTATTGTAAGGAAGTACTGACCTACTTTAGAGGGTTGTTGTGAGGATTATAAGGGGACATATGTGTACACTGAACATTTTAGAAGTATTATATAGAAGTATTGCAAAGCAAAGGTGCAGTCTGAATTCAAGGGGGACAGCGCCCTTCCTGACTCTCCTCCACTTAAACCCCAGCCTGACACCACAGGATCTTTCTTTGCTTCGAACACTATTAATAGCCCCGCCTCATCACTGTCTATAAAACAGTACAGCTTGAGCGCTATCTGAACCACCCTTCAAATGAGGTCTAGCGTCTTGAGTACACAAAAAGTCAAAGACCACAACGCCTCTGAGCATGTGCAGATAGTACCAGACTGCACCCTTTCTCTTTATCAAAAGCAGCGATAAAATGCTCGTTCTCCCTCCAGTCTGCACCAAAGTTTCAATAACGGAGGGCGTATCTAAAGCCCCACGAACTTTTCCCGCCCCACCTTTGCCCTACAGAACTCTGAGCAGAATCGCTAACGGGCGGGCACAACAGGCACACTACGCATGAACAACTTCCGCGCGATTCTATGGTTCACGGTGGTCAAGAAGGCGAGGGGAAAACTTGGGCGGGCGAGACACCGACCCGTCCCTCCCCATCGGCTACCCACCCGGGCAGGCCCAGAGACCCCTCGAGGCGCCGGAAGGCTCCCTGTACACCGGAGCCGAAAAGAACACCGCCCAAGTCGAACACCACAAAGCACCGCTTCGCTGCCATCCCCTTCTCGGGACAAGCCTACGACACCTTGAAACAGGAGGCGGCAGCGGCTTCCACTTTAGAAAAATACTACCCCACCACACCCCCAGTCTGGTCGGCCACGCCCCCTTCCTTTAAACCTGCCGGACAACTCTCCTCCCTACATATTGTGCAAGTCACGCCCCCTCCCTCTGCCAAATCCTCTGGGTCTTAGTGCGACTGGTTTCATTACTGAAGAAATGCTCGAAGTCGCTTGGCCGGGTGCCCGCGGAAGGGGGGGGGGGGGGGGGGAAGCAGCAGCAGCTTTTTGTCTTCATCATCTGGTGCTTACTTAGGGATACGGAGCATTTGCCTCAGAGGGATGATATGGTGCCTTTAGTGTGAAGGTGGTGCACGTATAATGAGGGGTATGAAATAATACACAGCAGGCTGAGGGAAGTTCAGAGGATCACGGAGCAAGTCACACTGAAAGGTCCCTGCAGTGTTACAAGCAGACCTGCAGACATGACCATAATCCACTACAGGTGTCCCCTTATTCCCAACTTTCACTGTTATCAGTGGGCAGTGGTTCAGGAGAAGCCGATGAGTGAGCTAAGAAGAAGAAGAAAAAGATAGTTTTTATACCCCAGAACAAAGTCTGAGTCCAGTGGCACCTTTAAGACCAATAAAGTTTTATTCAAAGTATAAGCTTAAGCCACTTTGTCAAACACAAGGACACACTTTTCTCTGCCCCCAAGGAGTCTCAAAGTGGTTTATAATCCGGGCCCTGCGGGACCTTGTGCAGTTCTGCAGGCAGGGTTAGCTCACTCACTAGGTGAACTAGGCATTCGCCTAGGGCGGGCAGGCCCTTAGGGCGCCAAACTGCACGGGAATGGCCCCCCCCCCCCACGAGAAGGGCCTCCTTGAATGGGAGGGGCGGGGGAGCAGGCCCACAGACATTAAAGAGGCCGGGGAGGGGGGGGGAATGAAACCCTGTCCAAACAAGCTGTTTGCAATTTGAGGCTTTTGCCTTCCAGCGTGGGTTTCCACCTTCCGCAAAAGTGCCCGGCCGAGGCACCCACCGGCCATCTCTGGGGAAGTCGTCTTGTTAGAGGGTGTATGTCGCAGAACAGCTGGTCTCGCTTGCGCTGCACAAAATGTTTTTAACAAACTTGCCTGTATAAATGGTTACACTCCTGTGCAATGTTCCCTCTAAGCTGTGGAGTCCTGTGAGCAAAAATACTACTTTCTGAGCTACTGGCATTGCAGGGGGGCGGCACACAGGAGGGCGGTGCACGGGGGGTGCCAGAAGGGATCCTCGCTTAGGGTGCAAAATAAGCTGGCCCTGTAAGAAAGAGTTCCGCAGGGCCTGTAAGGAGATCCGGGCCCTGCGGGACCTTGTGCGGTTCCGCAGAGCCTGTAAGACAGAGCTCTTCCGCCAGGCTTTTGAGTGGGAGCTGCCGCCGCCACTATCCCACCATCATGGTAGTGCTTCATTGTCAGCCCCTATCATGGGGTGCAAGCATCGGCTGGCAGAAGCATATAGAACAGTACTGCGGGAGACCGCGCTATTGAGACAGCTGGCCGCCAAATTGGGTTTATTGTTTCCCATCTTGGGTGACTTACATAGGAAGATTAGAGCACCTTGATTATTGTATGGGTTTTTAAATGTTGTTTATTGTATTTTATCTATTTAATTCGGCTTTGCCGCATGTTAGCCGCCCTGAGCCACTGGGAGGGCGGGATACAAATATAAAAATAATAAATAAATAAATAAATAAATAATCTACTTTCCTTTCTCTCCCCACCACAGGCACCTTGTGAGGTTGGTGGGGCTCAGACAGTTCTGAGAGGATTGTGACTGACCCAGCAAGTTTCATGTGGAGGAGTGGGGAATCAAACCCAGTTCGCCAAATCAAAGTCTGCTGCTCTTAACCACTACACCATGTTGGCAGTGCTGGCCAGGACTGAGTTGAGCGGTCCCTGCAGAGCTGCTGAGTAGAGTTGCAAATTTTGGCTTAGCAAATTCTTGGAGATTTGGAGGCAGTGCCCAGGGTGGGTTAAAGGGGGGAGGGGAGCAGGGATGCAATATCACTCTAGGACTTCTGTTTCTTCTAAAGGCTATGGTATACCATAGAGTCCACCCTTCAAAGCTGCCATTTCTTCCAGGGGCATCCAAACACAACATATTGCTGCACAAGTTCATAAATTGAAACTTAACAATGATGATGTTTTTTAATATTTCACTAGATAATAAACAACAATGAGAGACCGAAGTCTTCAAGAAACAAGAAGCAAGGACGAACTTTCCCAAGCTTGACAGTCCGTTTCGACCTGCGTCTTTATCAAACGTCCTGTGAAGAATAACAACTTTGGTAACAGGGGATATCAACTTCGGAGAAAGTTTACAAAAAATTCTTCAATAAAATTACAATAATATATACATACAGTTTGTGGTGTTTTTGTCTTCAGATCATGAATTTCAAATTTATGTGCATCAATTCTATAAATATAAATATATTCAATTAAGTATTTTAAGCAAATTACATCAATAAATATTCAATAAAGTCATACAGCATTCAAAAAGTAATGTGTTAAAAACTTACCAATAGTGGCTAATCATAGCTCTAATATACATCAGTTCCTTCCGGATAATACATCTTAACTTTGCTCTACAAAGACCTTCCTTATAAGTGGTTACAAGCATCACATGTTATTTTAATATTACAATAAGGGGAGGTCAACGTACCATACTCCCATGTCACCTGTAATGATGCCTAAAGGACTGGCGATATCCAACCCGAGAATCCCTCATTGGATCTAAGTAGTTTCATTCACCCAAGAAACAAGACAGGTCTAAAGCAGCATTAAGCTCGGCAGGTTGTTCTGATCTAAGTCTGAATGTCCAAAACGCCTCTCTCTGCAATAACACCCTTTTTAAATCTAAAACGGTGTAGGGGTTATTTCTTATCACTTCCAATACTAGACATTTGAAATCATTAGGGTCGTGATTTGCTTCCACAAAATGCTGAACCATTGGGGCTGTGAGATGCTTATGTTTGATCTTAGATTTGTGTTCCAGAATACGGGTCCTCAACATTCTAGATGTCTGTTCGACATACCTACGTTGGCACGTACAGATCAATAAATAAAAAATGGATTTAGTGGCACAGGATGAGAATTGTCTGATGGGTTTCTTTAAATTAACATCGGGAAAATCCAAAGTGTTTGTTTCCAACATTGACGGACATGCGGCACACCTGCCGCACCTGTGGTGTCCAGTCAAGGAAGTTTCCTGGTATTGCATCTTAAAGGCGTCCGCCCTCACCAGTTTTTCTCTAAGGTTTTGAGTCCTTCTAAAGCCCACTCTAGGTGGAAATTGACATGCTGTGATATCACTCAGGATATGCCAATGTCTAATAACGATGGCTTTGATGTCCTGGGCTCTGTTTGTATAGTCCAGTGCCCAGGTCAATCTATCACTGTTCTCCCGTCCCTTTCTATCCTGAAACAACTCATTCCGGTTGCGTCGTTCTGCTCTCCAGCAAGCATTCTCAATGACCCAATCAGGGTAGCCCCTCTCACAAAATTGAATTGCTAATCTGTCGGCTTCCTGCCTGAAATCCTCATTCAAGGTCGAATTTCTTTTTATTCTCAAAAATTGCCCATAGGGCAAATTGTGTATCAAATGTTTAACATGGTGTGATTTGTAATGTAACAGAGAGTTCCTGTCTGTTTCTTTGTGAAACGGGCGAACCACCAGTCTTCCCTCTTTAACAAAGACAGTAGTGTCAAGAAAATTAATTTCTGTAAAGCTGGCATTGTAGGTGAATTTAATGGATTGATGCCATTGGAAAAAAGGTTCCACCATGTTAAATTGATCAAGAATAAGAAAGCAATCATCTATACAAATACAAATACAATACCTTTATTGGCATAAAATCATCTATATAACGTTTGTACATAACTATATTAGCAAAAAAAGGATTGAAATTAATATTAGTGATCCATTGTTCCTCAAAAAATCCCATAAATAAGTTGGCAACACTGGGTGCAAATGAACTCCCCATGGCTACACCCTTCACCTGGAAATAAAAATCAGATCCCAAACGAAAAAAACTCTTATCAAAAATAATGTCCACCAGGTCCAACAGAAAATGTGTGGGGGGAATTTTTTGGGGCCTTTTTTCCAATGTATTCAGGAGAGTCAATCTCGTCTCTTCATGGGGGATGTTAGTGTACAGTGACCCCACATCCATAGTCATAAGTACTGCCCCACTGGGAAACTCCTTGCCCTCTATGATTTGGATAAAATTGCGCGTGTCTTTGATGCAAGACGCCAATTCACCCACAGCCGGTTGGAGAAAAGAGTCAATTCAATTCAAATACCTTTTATTGGCATAGAATATTAAAACATTTCCCAATAATACAGTCCAAGAGAAATTATAAAATAGATAGTCGTGGGTATGTCAGGCCTAACTCAAGTTGTCACAAGTTAGATTTGACCATACAAAAGATGCCTGAATCATAAAATAAACTGGCATTCCAAACTTTTAAACTTAAGTTTTTAAACTTATAAATTAAGAATCATTAATATGATCAGGGTTACTCTTCCGTTTTATAAAACAATGGAGAAACTTAGCGGTCAGTTCAATGATCTCCAGATCTCGTGAAGCAAGGAGAAATTGTACCTTGATTCTATCTGATTGGCCTGCTACCATCCTAAGGGGGGCTTCTATACACTCCACTCGAATGTCATTTAACAATTTACAGTGTAAGAGTACGTGGTCATGGAGAAAAGAGTCTACATATTTAGATAAGGGCTCCAATAGGGAGTTGGTTCCCGAAACTATGGGCCTGCCAGGGGGTGGGTCTCCGGGTTTATGAATCTTTGGAAAAATATAGAAAATTGGAGTCCTATGGTATTTTTTATGCAGATATTCTGCTGTCTGTGCCGAAATATAATCAAATGATAGCCCTTCATTGACAGTGGTTGAAATAATCCTAGCTACTTCATTCGTGGGATCGTAATCAATTTTGTTGTAAAAATTTGTATTGTTTAATTGCCTATAAACT